GGCCGTTCACAATTACCGCCATTGACTTCTTTTCCATTTCTCCTTCGACGTAAGAGAATCGCCGGCCTCCGCACACTGAGCACGATTAACATTAGAAGAAAAGGGACAAAGAATGATAAGAGTGATAATCGAGAATTGGAAACTGTTTAATAAACGCTCACTTCTGATAATTCGTGAATGAAATCTGTGTTTCGCCTCTCTTTTGGCACGATACTTGGACCAAGTTACGTCGCGATGATGCGATCGTATCAATTTGTTTATTGCTCGCTTGCAAAATGTATCGGCCGTTTATTTTCAAGCACATTAACGTGGTAAATTTAGCCCGGGTTGAATTATAGCGGTCAGCTTTTGGAGCGACCTGTAGGCGGCGCGTTTTCGTCGATCCTGGGATTTCTGGATATTTTCGATCTGTTGCGTTCGATTTCGATTTGAATATTCGCAAATGTCAGAGAGTAGGGTGGGTGTAAAATTAATTAAACGTTCCTATTTTACACAAAGACTATTTCCGCGTTGTCTCGCGGAATCATCTTGTGAAGAGTGTGGACGCGTCGTCCTGCCGATCTCTGTCCACCCCTACGCGAACAGGCCCAGGGAGAAACCCAAAGCGCTGGGCCTGGCTTCGAGATGCTCGCTTCACCGTCTTCGGGACGGATTTTCTCGCACAAACATTCGTATTGCTAACTGTGGCGACCGCCACGGAGGGCCACGCACTTAGTCCTGGCGACTCTTGGCCCTCGAGGCGAAGAATCGAGAGATGTTTGGAAAAACATCTCCGAGTTTCTTCGTCCTCGAGGACAAGAGTATTGCGCCCACACTTCCTGGGACATTCCCAGGGAAAAGGGGCTACTTAAGGGAGCCCCGAAAAAGGGTCGTAGACTTCCTTTCTACGCGCATCGTATCGCCTTACATCTAAAATTAGTTTAAGTATTATTGGTTGAATAAATATATTTTTGTTACCCACTTTGCGAGTAATCAGTTGCACCGCGTCACTTCCAAACTGCGAATCCTAATCTATCGGACGTTATAATAAATATCGAATAGTCTGCTACGGTACTAATTTTCCAATTTTTTATCTCGATTCTTTACCTAATGTTACGCTTCTTAACACTTTAAGCGTAATACGTGGACTAGCGATTAAGCGCCGGGCTCGCCTAAATGCGTCTTTACATGTTCGTGCAGAAGAAATGCGACACCTCTCGAACAGCAAATTAGCTCGATATTTTTATCATCAAGAATCGTCACTGTCCGTAAAATTTGTCAATGTTAATTTTCTGCTTTACAACAGTTATTCTATTTTATTTCGTAAAAGTGCGTGTTTCTGCGAAGCTCGTGTAAGGGGAACTGAGAAATTGACGCGTATTTGATAGAAATGGATTTATTGAATATTGCGTGGGTTAACTTGCTTAGATCGTCAGCGTGCGACTCTAACCAAGACTGCCTTTCCGACTAGGAAACCCCCTTTTTCCAGCCGTTGCCAAATGTGCGTCGCCAAGGGCCTCGAGGGTTGGTTGACGATGCTCGTGGCGTCGTAGGCCTCGGGCACTCGTAAATATTGCGGCGCTTTAAGTCAAGTTTCCAACGAAAAACCCGTTTCCTTAAGTGTCAACCTCAATTTCGACGAAGAGATCTTCGTATTCGAGTAATTAAAAAAGAATCGAAATCCAGATGCTGGAAGACTCGAACGCAAGTTAGGATACTCTGCTACTCGAATCTCGATACGCTTCGAGCACTCGGATATCCGGACAAAAACATACCTAAATCCCGCTCACTCCTCGATCTCGTTCACTCTCCTCGATCGGGGGACCCACTTTTGAACGAACCTGCAGCCATCGGGGAAAGTTTGTTTTCCAACGAGTATATTCGCGTTTTGATACGGCGAACGTGTTTGCTTTCGCCAGATAAAGCGATACAATTCACCGATACGCTTCCCTAAAGAGCTTAATACACAATTAAAATAATCCCCGATAAACGGTCGTGTAGTACGCATAAGCTCCTCTGTAGCTGCTGACACTGCGAGAAATATATTCTTTCCACGTTCGTTCCGACGTAGCGAGGCACAGATAACACACGTGAGTAACGTAACGTGAAATGTTACGTGTGTATCAACGAATCAACCTTGTTTACGCGTACCGTGCGCATATCGGTGTAACAATGTCTCAATAAAATCCAACAAACGTGACGGAATTTCATTTTTAACGTTTGTAGGCACAGTTTGCGTCACCGGTGGTTGAAAATTGAAACAAAAGAGCGAACGGTAGAGCAAAGGACAATTACTCTAGAGAGAGAGAGAGAAAAGAACGAGAATTTGTGGCCTCGGGAGAACGGTGCAAACGCACATTACCAGCTGTTTTGTTTACCAGTTACGATTATCACGTGCATTACGCAACGATGATATATGGATAACGCGTCACTGTTTCGTAGAATAGCAGCAGCGATAAAGCTTGTACCATTTCTCAGCCTGCTCCACCAACGATACCACCGTCGAGTTCCTTTTATTTCATCGTCGAGAGCAAAAGCAAACCTCTGCGATCGACGAGGAAATTTTTCCAAATTACGTCGTTCTCTATTAATAGAGCCCACGACATTGTTTATCGCGCTTTCTACCAGACGTTCGATGTATAATTATGAGATATACACAGGAATGACGGACACGAATTAGACGACGGGATAAACGGTGTGTTAATTTATAAATATCGACGACAAGATCGGACGTCTTCCCCGTTTTCCTCAGATTTCATCTTCGATGGATCAACGATGTATCCTTGAGACAATTAACCGTGCGTGGGCGTCCCTATCAATTTTCCCCCGTGGAAGGAAACGTCACTCGTTTCCTCCTATTGACAGCAATTCACCTTCGTTCGGTTATCTGGAAATAAAAGGGATCGTAAATTGCGGGAGGGACTCGTCATCGGAGGAAATAGAAAAGGCGAGAGAATTCGTTAATAGTAGCAGCTAGCGCGGTTCGAAAGTTTCAAGTCTAGATGGAAGAGAAAACAGAGCCGGGAGCCGATGGTGATTTGCAAATGTGCCAGCAGCTTCTTGGCAAGTGACTAAAAGTTACACGAAACATCCGCTCGTTATCGAAGCGTTCGTTAACACGCCGCGCTTGAATTATTCCCAGCGTTTATTGGGATTCGTTTCGGGATCGCTTCGTTCGTCAATTTTCAATGCCGTTTCGTGTGGAATGAATATTGGATGGGAAGAAGCAGCGAGAGCAACGTCGTTTATTGTTAATTCAAGGGTGACACGGTGAATTCGATCTTACAATTAGCGGATACCTTATTTATCGATTGCACTCGGTGATAAATTAGGGAGTATGAAATATGAAGTATTAGGTCATCCCATAAGTTCGTGCCGAATTTAAAAATTCAGATCGATGTTTCCAACGAACGTTTACATTTGACAAAAAAAAAAAACGTAAGCGCCTTCTCGTTCCACAACTTTTTTCTATTTTTTTAGTAATACCATTATGTCGTCGCTGTAGTATTTCCTTGAATTTTCCTTAAATTATTTTTCGTTCTCGGCACGAACTTATGGAACGACCTAATAGATAGAGGAGTTGGAAGAGAATTTTTGCAGAAGAAAATACAACTGTGGGAAACTTCAAACAGGCTGCTATTTAAATTACAATTTAAACGCTTTCAAAGCGGGACTAACGTGGAAGAAAAATTTGTTTACGAGAAAAATTCTACACCATTGTAAGCAGCAATGAAACACAAGGTTCCGGGTCCTCCCTTCCCAGTTACGTCACCTTCGTCGCTCGTCCCTTGCTCGAGACGCATCTAAATTCAAACCCGTATCCTTTGCACCAAACTCTCTCCTCGGGACACTTTCCTCCGCCCAATCCTCCCTCTAATTTCCCCAGCTAAAAACCCTCTCTAACCCACTCCAGGACCGATCCTCTAATCCTTGTCGCATGCGGACCTTCCTTTCTCTCTCTCTCTTTCTGCTCTGCTCTGTCTCTCGAGAGGAGGAAAAAAAGAAATCGCGGCGGTTGAAAGACAGTATAGCACGTTGAAGTGACATTGAGAGGAGAAGGACGCAGAATAAAGGCATCGATCGGTCTGTGTGCCGGCATCAGGAAGGTTAGATCGTAGGCGGAGTGAGAGAAAAACATGGCGTCAGGGCGTCGACGAGGACGAACGTGTGCGAGGCGCATGGCCAGCTTCGTCACGGACCTCGTCATCGTGGTGCACGACCTCCTAGCCGGCAGCGTTTCCCGTTTCTCCGCTGCGAGACGTGGTAGTTGTCGGTGTCGCCGTCGCCCCGTGAACCGGCTTCGTAGCACGTTCCTCGCGAGCGTGCAATGCGGACGGCAGGCTTGGCGAATAGGCGGCTGGGGGGGTACAGGAGGGCACGGAGGGCACAGCGTAGTAGATAGAGGTGGGGACCCGGCGAGAGGTCGGGAAGAGAGGCACCAATATCGAACCGGCGGCCGTGGTGTGCGCGGCCAGAGTGCATTCCGTGAGCGGTAGACGCATATCGCACATCGCAGACAGTCGCCACGAACAGCCGATATGCGTGCGTGCGTTATTCGAACGAGGTAACCTCGGCTCAATTAACCGTATACCCTATTTTTCCCTTTTTTTCTTTCTTTCTCCACCGTCCCTTCAACTGTCCAAGTGCGAACGAAAGGGGTGAAAAAAAAAAGAAGAGATCGGTCGAAATAGTAGAGGAGAGAGCGAGAGCAAGATTCCGCGGCCACGAGGCGGAATAAACAGAAAGGCGAAACAAGTGTGTGTCGTGGTGTCGCGGTGAGGTTCGGGACCGGCTAGACGAGACCGGGAGGCGCCGCAGCCGATGTACTACGTGGTGGTGCGCGTACCAGCAGTAGCAGGGTGTGGTGTACGGAGAACAGGTGTCCACGATAGAGGAACTCGAGCGTGAAACAGCGAGAGACACGCCTGAAACGGCGAAAGTGGGGAGGAGACCCAAGGTGCGCGTTCGACAATATGAATTTTCAAGCGGGCCAACCTTAACGTATCGCTACCTCGAGAGGCGAACGTGCCCTCCGAATACGGCCAGCTCCCGCTGGTAGCAGCTGTGTCCGACGGGGCGTGATGTCGCAGACACCGCCGAAGAACTCGAGTCCAGCCGGCAGCCGGCCGAGTCCTGGCAGCCCGAGCACGTCACGTGGACCGCGGCTCAGCGACAGAGTGAACTTTTTCGTGGATCTGTTCGAGGACAAGGAGGCCAGACGGAACGTGGCACATTTTCGTTCACCCACCGCCAATCCTAGACCGTCGTCCAGAGCGAGCGACTCCTCGTTCGAGGAGAGCTTCGAGAAATTGGTGGAGGAGGGTGAATTGAACGGGTCGAAGGTGGTCAAGTTCGAGAAGATCACGGTTAGAAAGAGCGTGAGAGAGATCAGCGGCAGCGTGTCGTCGCAGCAAAAACTGCTGACGGAGTCTAGTAGAACGCCGAGCGAAGAGCACACCCTCGAGGATTCTGCCTATCAGAGTCACAGCCACGACGCGCCTAATCATGGAAGCAAATCGAGCTCCGTTGGATCTTTCGCCAGATTCCCATCGGAGGAGAGTTTGTCGCAGAGGAGGGGCAGCAGCCCTCAGCATCATCTACTACTGGACGATCGAACGTCGTCCGAGTGGTACGCCAAGTGCATGGCCCGAAGCTTCCAGAACGTCGCTAGTAGGATCGAATACGTGCGCAGTAAGAGCGAATACGATGCACACATCGCTGAGATTAAAGGTATTTCCCCCCTTGGTTCGTTGGTTCGCAGGGTAGAGGGGGTTGCTGATGCGAGAGGGTGTGTTTGATTTTAGTATCGATGATTTTCAAGTAGATTTCGAGTGCGCCGGCTATCGGGGACAGTGGACGCTCGATATTGGCGTTTTTTAATTAATTTTAGGGAATTCAGGTTATCGGGGGAGTTTTCATGCGAACCAAGTAGTTAACGATGCCGCTTAGGGAATATAGAAGAGGGTATACATCGGACAGGTTTACCTAGATCACGACAAGTGATTACTTTAGGTCAGTGTTAATTAAACCACCTAACGAAACGTTACTCTGATATCGCGTTGACTCTCTACGATCAGTTGGGAAAAATGAGCCTTTGTCGAAATTTACATAACCCTTTGTTAGATCAAAACTGTTAATCTGTCGTCGATTCCGCTCACGCCCGGTGTTTCGTACCGGTGTTTCCTCTGGAGAACGCTCGTGACTCGGTATAGTATCGATGGTAGAACAACTTCCACTCCCTTTCACGAGTTCTGCGAGCCTCTGTCGCGGCCAGAAAGATCCCTGACTTTGTCTGCTGGCACGGTGTGAACGCCGGTCAATACTTCGCACGGTTCATCTGATAACAGTTGAACAACGAGGAGGTAAAAACTCGCTTAGTTTCTTTTCATACACAACGTATACTTTTTCTTTTATCTTCGTATCACACTCGACGCGTTTCATCTTTAACACTTGATCGTCGATCGAATTAATCTTCGACGACGTTTGCACGCTTCGCGACTGATCTATTTACGCGTAAACAGGTTTATCGTTGATCCGGATGGCGCGGTACGCGACGAATAATATCCTCCGGCGACTATGATCGATCGTTCACCGTGGAAATTCAAATAAAATTACGCGGTGGCCTAGATTCGCACGATGCCGGCGACGCACGATCGCGATTCATTACTCATCCCGCTTCTACAAAAGACACGAAACACGCCGGTATACTTTTTGCTCTTTTCGACGCTGACAACCGGCGACCACGAAGCGTGCGCCACTGAAAATCAATGATCCCCAACCCAATAACTCCCTCGAAGATCGAATCTTCTGCTTCGTAGAAAAAGAAACTCTAGTTGAACCTTGCCATCGTGCCCCATCGAAACGCGAAGATTTCATTCTGGCTCGCGTCGCGTGACATTAGCTACGTTACTAATAAACTGCATCACACCTATTAAATGGATTAAATTGCTCTGCTTTTGTACGATTACTTTGTGCTTCACGCTGCTCCAATTTTACCCATTTATTCCAATTGCCCACACTTTTGTATCATTCACGCGAACGTTTTCATTTTTCCTCCCCGAAAGTACCAGCTTGTCGCGCGTTATTTTCATTTCGATCTCTTTCGTTCACACCGATTTCAAACATTCAAGCTTGAAATATCCACCTAAATAGTTTCCCCTAGATTCTTCAATTGTCCAAAAATTTGCCTAATTGCTGTATTCGCGCTGAAATAACAAAGCTACGATTGTCCCCTAGTTCACCTGGCGCACGTCCAATCTAATCACCCGTCGATACTTCATACGCGAAATTGCACTCTTAATCGACCGAATTTCGATGTCTCTCCTGTTTCGAAGTTGCTCGACCAGCGGCGACGAAGTACAGCGGCCGAAGAGCCCAGGTTTCTTGCGATCAATAGTTATCCACCGCTGTTTGAGTACCGTATTAGCAATTCCCTCGTGGGGAAGTTTTCTTGGCGACGACACGCGTTCGCCGGTAAGCAAGACCGTTCGCCTCGAGGAGGAACGAGGCAGAAAACGCGAGCGGAGGTTCTTTCGTAACGAGAACTAATCTTTTGGGAGTTTAGATAAGGGAAAATTGCTGGTATGGTCGCGAATAGTCGGGAATAGATAGCGACGTGAATTGTGGGAAACGACAAACCGGGTTTGAACGGACGAGTTTGAAACATGGTCGAAACGTTGGGATATACGTTCTGCACCCTTGTTCACTGTCTTCCAACGGTTGATTGATAACGTTCGTTTGCGGTTCGCGTTCGATAATCGCGTTACCCACGCTCGGCGCCGTGCGTTACGTGGGACAAACCGGAAAGATCGGTTCGCGACGAGGCTTTCATGGCCACGGTCGGTGTCATCTGCACCAAATACTCTTCCAACCGTTGAAGAGATTGTTTCAGGAGACGAAATGACGTTTAAGTTGAATTCAGCGCACTGACGGTCGTTCCATTTGGTGAACATTTTTTTTAACGAATTTGTTACTTATCTGGCGATTACGGTGGCTGTAATGGATATTAAATTGAGATCGAGTTTTCTTGGGATATTCGAATGGGACGTGATACTTAAGCGGGACGAAGAACACTGAATTTTATTTATTTCACGAGTGAAATATACTTCTTGTTTATCTGGCGATTATTGCGTTTGTAATGGACACTAAATTGAGATCAAGTTTTCTTGGAGTACTGAAATGAGACGTGATACTTAAGCAGGACGGAGAACACTGAATTTCATTTTATTTCTCATTTATCTGGCCGATGATCACTAAATTGAGATTCATTTTTCTCATAAGACTCAAACGGGACACAAACATCCCACTGATCGCGAAAACGTTAAGAAACGCCGAATGTTCCCGCAAATTCCCATTTTAAATCTTTCACAGACACATCCAAGTGTCTCGAACCCAATTATTCTCCCAAAAATAGAAGAAACGAAACTAGAATGATACAACGGTGATACAATTTGACGTAAGAACAGCAAGCAGAATGCGATAGAAATTAAAACTTCCGGGAGCAAGATTGAAGGTGGACAGACAGGGGAGAGAAAAGAAAGTAATTTACCTCGTCAGAAACTTCACTTCGGAAGAAACGAAGAAAAGTAGAGCGAAGTTGTCAGGAAAGTTCCGTTAAAAGGTGTCTCGCGAGTCGATGAATGAGACGTTCTACGAAGACGTTGGAACGCGACGTCGCCTCGAGAGTTTGACGAGGTTCGCCGGATACATTTTGGCACCGTTTCCGCGTACGCGTCGCTAACACCAGTCTCCATCTGTTCCTCGAGACGATCGCGAAGCAGGGCAACGAACTGTTCCCCGCGACTAAATAAAATGAAGCCTGTTAGGTCGAGGCAACGAGCGGCGCGAACCGAGCATTCGTGCCCAACAGTCGATTGCTACTCGATACCCCGCGACTGCAAACGTCTCGCAGTTCTTAATAATTCCAACTTTATACGACGTTCGTGAGTCTCGAATTTTACCTCACTTTCTCTGCAGGCCGATTTTCACACCGGTGAAGTGTGTTTAACTTCGTTTTCTAGTGTAATTGAAGCTCCTGGAATTTTCTAAGGGATATTTCTTTGAGTGCTAGGTACTCTTTGCTTTAACAATGCTTTACCGACTCTGTGGAGCTCGAGTGGGATTAGGGACCATCTCTTGAGAAAAATTGAAAATTTAGAAGGCTGTAAGATGCACCTGGAGGGATGTTTTTTGGAATAAAGGTGAGAAATTTTTCTTTCCTGTGAAAGATGACAGAAGATAGTGGAAGAGAACGGTTAAAATATGTTGTACAATAAGTTGTGTGTCTTGTGAAATTTCCAAGTACGTAGCAATTAAAAAGTTATTTCGGTTGAAAACCTTCGTGGAGACATCGAGAATAATCATAGAGGCGTTCTCCATTGAAGCTACATTTTTAATAATGCTTGAGGATACTTGAGAGACGCTTCGTGAAGCACTTTAATTCCTTTAAAACACTTTCTCTGTTCTATCTGTGCCTTGTGAAATTTTCAAACGCATGTGCAGCAAGTAGAAAATAATTCCAGCTTAAAACCATCATCGGGAATTTGAAAATAACGCAAGCGTTCTCCATTGTAGCCACATTTTTAATAATACTCGAGGACACTTGAGAGACGTTTCTTAATTCCTTTAAAACACTTTCTTATTACACCTGTGCCTTGTGAAATTTCCATCACACAAATAAAGAAGACTTCCATCTGAAGATCTGCAAAATTTCACAAGACCATCGCGAATTTTAAAATAATCGTGCAAGCGTTCTTCATCGTACCCAAATTTTTAGTAACACTTAAGGACACTTGAGAAACGCTTCGTGATCCTTTTCAATCCTTTCAAAACACTTTCTCTCTTACATTTGTGCCTTGTGAAATTTCCACAATTCCACCTGAAGCCCTGGAAAATTTCGCAAGACTTCGGAGATTCGAGATTTCGGAGAATAATCACGCAGAGACGTTCCACCATCGCAGCCAACCTTCGTGCGACCAGTCAAATCAACCCCGTCGTGTATAAATATCCGCGATATTCGCACGTGACTCGGTTAGACATCGCGAAAACAGGGGGGACGCCGTTCGCTTTTAATTGGACAGCGGCGACGAGAACGAAACGGAGCGGAATCGACGTCGAACAGATAAAACGAGCAACGGCCACGTTAAGAAAGAGCAAAGGCGAGAGCGGCGAGGTCAAGGTCTCGCTGGTTCGTAGTTATTAAATCGTTACGTCATGGACACGCTGGCCAACGTACGAACGGTCGTCGTCGGATTTCGTTTAAGTCAACGTTTACACGGCCTTCGTTGCTCCCGTCCCCGTGTTCAAATTCGTAGGTGTCGCATAGCGTAGCAGTCGCGGCGAGCATTTAAAATGAACGTTACGTCAGCAGCGACGTAGATGTTGCGCCGATCAACGCGTTTCACTTATGAGGAGAGCGAAGAGTCGGGGAGAGTGCAGTTTCGAGGAGTTTTGCGAGTGTTGGCAATGCAAGCACTCTCCTTTCGAGTTCAATTTGCGGAGGAGGTCTTGCAGCTTGAGTAATTTCTTTTTATTTGACAATGGAGTGCCTTGGAGAGGCAGGAAGTGCTGTAATGTAATTTAGAGAGACTCTGAATTATTTGCTGTAAGAAATGCGAGATTTCGGCGGCGAAGTGGTGGCCTGGAGTTTGTCGCCCAGGAAGAGAAAACGCGCGGGTACCTGAGGGTGCCATAAACCCTTTCCCCGGAAAGTCGAACGAGGAAGCTCCGAT